GCCGAATGAGGGACCGAGCTACGAGCCAGGGTGGTGGCAAACATCCTGCCCTCTCAGTCTTGGGGGCCTGGCCTGGAGAGAGCGCTTCGCAGGATGGATCGATCCATGGGTGGACGGACGGGCGGGCAACTCGAAGTGTAAAGATAGTAAACAGGGGGGATAAAATGGGATGGGGCGTGATGCGTTGAAATTGGATCTGCTGTGATCGGGTGACATGGTCAGCGGCATGGGCACTGGCTGGGCTGGCGGGGGATGGGATGCGGTGGGATCGGACAGGACAGCTGGGAGGGACGGGATGAGATGGACTTTGATGGGATGGGTGAGGAGGTGATACGATGGTGGGGGGGATATGGGGATACCACGATGGGGTGCGATGGGATGTGCTGGGGAGGTATGGGATGGGAGGGGGCTGGCGCCCAGACCGCTGACCGCACATGCCGTCCAATATCCAGGGTCCCCGAGCTCATCTGTGGGCCCGCGAGAGCCCGAGCACGAGACTCCGCTCGGAAAGTCCCCAGCCGCCCTGGTCTTGTTTTTGCTCAGGACGCGGGACCCCGAAATCGGCGCCCCGAAGCAGGGACACGACCTGAGCTCTCGCCCTGGTCCTGTTTTTGCTCAGGACGCGGGACCCCGAAACCGGCGCCCCGAAGCAGGGACACGACCCGAGCTCTCGAGCGCCTGCTTCTCCGGCGCACCGTGAGCTGCACCGACGCGTGGGGGCCCCCAGGCGCGAGCACGCGGCGAAGACGCCCGTCGTGGCTCCTCGCCAGGCGCCGAGCTCTGGTGCCGTGGGAGAGCTGGCCCTCGTTCGGCACCTCTCGAGGAGAGTGTTTTTGGGAATCCTCTGGGCCACACATAGCGCGCGTTCTGCCCCCCCCCCCCCCCCCCTCTCCCAGAACGCAACGCCCCCCCTCCCCCAGTGCATCCCTGGCACTGCCGCAGTGCGTCGGGCACCACAGTCTGCGGTTCCAGGACCCACGCGGCGGGAGGGGGCGTTGCGTTCGTTGTGCCCCCCGCCTCTCTCCCCCGCCTCCCGCCTCCGTAGCGCCCGTGATCGCGGCGTGCCTTCGAACCAGAAGGCCCTTGTGCCCAGCTCGCTCGGAATACCTGGCCTTCCTGCGGTTTGTTGGATACGCCTTGATCTTGAGATGTCGTGGGACAGTCACAGCGTCGATCCCCGAGCGTCGTGGGCAAGAGTTGGCGGACGTAGGGGGCGGAGCGGCCTCGTGCCCGTCGCCTGCAGCTTCGCCATTGCCTCCGCAGCTGGAGACACCACAAGTAGGCATGCGCCGCGTGGACCTTGGCCCGGCTGGGCGCGTCGGCAGACCAGTCACGGCGCCCATCACAGGCGGCCCGGATTAGTAGGTCGACCCTGCCAGATCAAGGGTACCCTCGTGTCCTGTGTCCTGCGACCCATGCCTCCTGCATTCCTGTGGCAACGTGGCCCTCGGAAGGGTCTCGTGTCCTCTCGCGTGTCCTCTCCCAGCAAGTCCGACTGTAATGGAGGATGACGGTTAATAAATGCCCGGGGGTCGTGTTCACGCGGCGGCGCCCGGGATGACGATTAGAAAAAAAAGGCCGCGGGCTGGAAAACTATGTTTTAAATCGTTCTCCTCCAGTCAGAAAGTTGTGCAGAAATAGCAGAAAACTATTTTTTAATCGTTCTCTCACATTTTTTATTAAGCGTCATCCCGCATTACAAGCCACAGCCCGAGTTCTCGAGCATCTTCTCTTCGCGGCTCTTCAGGCCAGCTCGAGCCGCGATCCGCGCGAGGCCCCCGAGGCCCCCAGGGCCCGAGCAGGGAAGGCTGCACTGCTCGTCGTGGCGCTGACGCGACGCCCCGACGTCGGAGACGTCCGGAGAGACCTCTGGAGAGGCCAAACGTCATGAGGGGAAAAAACACACAGACACAATTAATCGTCGATTCCCAGGAAAATATGGGAAAATATTGGAAGTGGGGGGGAAGACAAAAACCCAGAACATATTTGAAAATATGAGGAACATTTCTATGTGTGTGTGTATTTATTTGTGTGTCCTGGGGCCCCTTCAAAACGAGCGTCCAGAGCATCAGGCACGATGTGGTTATCGTTATCGTTATCGTTAGGTCGGGGATTTGGGGGAAACACTAAACATACCCCACACATTACCCCCCAAATGCTCCAACATAGTCAAACAAGTCGTCCCAGACTGTTTTTTTACTATTTTCAAAGATTCCCCCTGTAAAGGGGGCAGTCCGACTTACGGTTATCGGTCTTTGATGCGTCTCTTGTATCATGCCTCCGGCGTCGTGGAATTTGTCAACGCGTGCCCATCGGTCCTCTCGACCCCTTCCCAGGTATTTCTTGTGTCCCACGTTGTTTCCTGATTGACCTGGGCCAGGAAGCAGCCCCCAGGAGGTTTAATTTAGATGAGGACCGAAATACTCACGAGTTCGGACGTTTGGGATGTTGCCGAAAGCAGGTATTCTCAGGACTGGCTCGCTCTTCCCTAAGCCGCGGCACCCCCGCAGTTGAAGTGTCTTGCAAGAGCATGCCGAATAGCCATTCACAAGAACGTGCTAAAGTGCGACTGCCTGAAGCATATTGACGGTCCGAGGCTTGTAAAGACATAACCACGGAGTGCGATCAAAAAGCCATGCCGATCGCGATCCTCATGCTGACATTCTGCACTTAATGCTGACATATGTACATGTCGTACATAGTTGTGTACATCTAACGCCAGGGAGTGAAACTTGGTCCTACAACTGGGACCTTGAATCTCCAATTTGGGCACAGGGCTTCCGAGGTCTTGCCCCAGCCTTTGAAAACAGCTCCGGGGGGGCCCAGAGAGGCCTGGGAATGCCGCAGAGGGCACGAGTAGGCGACAAGAGACCCCAAGAACAGCCTCGACGCCTCCAAGACGGCTCCAGACAGCTCAGAACGGCTGCCAAGAGGCTCCCTAGATGGGCCCAGGGAGCTCCAAGAATACCCTTGCCTCCCGAGGGGCAAAAAACATGCATTTCCTCATTGGATTTTGTTGATTCCAGGATTGTCGTTTTGCATCGCTCGAAGCGCTCATGTCGGGCCAAGAGCCCCCCAAAGCCCCACCAAGACAAGCCGAAACGTCCCCGAAAAGGACCCCAGGAAGTGCCCCAGACGGCCCCAGAAGGCAACCGGAGAGCTCCATCGAGACGGCCCAGGAGGGCCCCAGAGACGGCCCAGGTGGCTCTCACAGGGCTTCGCGACGGCCGAGTTGGCCCAGCGGAGCCCAGGATGGCCAAAGGGGCCCCGAAGACCGCCCAGGAGGCCCCGAAGGCGCCCCCTAAAGGGCCCCAGCAGGCCTCCGATATGGCCCAGGAGGCTCCCGGGGGGACGCGTTTTGATCGGCTCCGCTCGTGACGGGGTCGATGCTGGCGGGGTGGGGGTGGCTGGCGCCGAGCGCTGCTGCCCTTGGCTTCAGCCGCGTCCTCTCTCTTCCCTCGCCCCTCCTCCACCGCCATCTCTTCCTTGCGTCCGCCGCCTCCCTCCGCCGCCCTTTCTCCCTGCTCCCTTCTTCGTCTCTGGCTGACGCATGTTCCCGCATCCCTCCAATTCGTTCGCCCCCCCCACCCACACCTCCCCCCTCTTCTCTCGTGCCTCTTGGCTCTACCCTCTTTCATCTCTCTGTCTCTCTCTCTTTCTCTCTCTTCCTTTCTTTCTCTTTCCCTCTAGCTCCGTTCCATCCTCCTTCTCTCCCGCTGCCATCCACCCACTCGCTCCTGCCTCCATGAGGTTCACCGCCTCCTGTGTGAACGGACTACTAACAGGGGGAAATTAAGTGGACGAAGGCTGGCTGCACAGGTCACTGTCTCACGACTCATAAGATGCAGCGCGTTGGAATGACAGGGAGCGCGGCGATCAACTAGAAGTTAAGCGCGCGCGAACCTCGCGTGCGATTGCCTTAGCGTGCATCCTTATGCTTACCCTGCTCAATACAAGTGTACGATGTGTATAGTGATAGTGTGCACGCCTTCGATTATATATTATGTGTATCTTTGCATCAGCGTGAGCCCATACGCACGTATGCGCAACATCGTACATGTGCATGTTTTCACACAAATAGATGCGCACCCATGTGAAACAGACGTCGCAAGTAGGGGAGGGGTCCTGGACACAGGGGCTTTCCCAGGGGCCTGCTTTCCAGACACAGTATTGTTTCGCTAAGCATCGGGCCCAGGAAGGGGCCCACGATAATGCACATTGAGACGAACCCTGGCCCATTTTAAGCCAAAAACACTTGCGTGGTAGCAGCCACGGACTCCGTGGCGTGGGGGGGGGATGTTGTTGATGATGATGATGATGATGATGATGATGATGATGATGATGATCATGATGATGCTGATGATGATGATGAACATGATGATGTTGATGATGATGATGATCATGATCATGATGTTGATGATGATGCTGGTGCTGATGCTCATGCTGATGCCGATGCTGATGAAGAAGATGATGATGATGCTGATGATGATGTTGATGATGTTGATGATCATGATCACGGTGTTGATGATGATGCTGATGCTGATGCTGATGATGCTGATGATGCTGATGATGGTAGTGATGGTGATAATGATGGTGATGATGATGAAGAAAGTGATGATGATCCTGATGATGATGACGATGATGACGATGATGATGAGGATGATGATGATGGTGATGATGATGATGATGGTGATGGTGATGATGATGCTGCTGATGATGATTATGATGATGATGATGCCGATGAGGATGATGATGATGATGATGATGATGATGATGATGATGATGAGGATGAGGATGAGGATGATGATGATCATCATCATGATGGGAGGAAGGAGGAGGAGGGGGAGGAGAAAGGAAGGAGGAAGGAGAACGCGGGGCGATGTGTATTCAAAACGAGGACCCAACACCACAGGATGGTTGGGAAAAACATATCAAAACACGCGCGTGGAGCAGCCACAGCGGCTCCGTGGCGGGGGGGGGGGGGGGGCGCCGCTGCCGGCATGGCGCCCCGCGCCCGGCCTGACGCCGCTGCGGCCGCGCATCGGGCCGCTGCCCAGGCCGCCTCCCCGCGCCCTCGTCGTCGTCTGGTCCTCGGCAGCCCTGCGCAGTCGGGGTGTTGACTTAAGGAGCCCTAAATAAGGAACGATGCCCCTTTCTCCCACAAGTTCAACTCCGATTTCCCATGGGAAACCTGAGGAACACCTGAGGCAAACTGTCAAACCAATCAGGGAACACCGAGACCCTCCCCAACGAAAAGGCCCCTTCTTCATCGCCCCGACTGTGCGCCGCTTCCCGGACGGGGCTGGGGCGAGGATAGATCCGTTGCAGAGCGCTCTTAGGGGAACGAGCAATGACATACACATAAAACTCGGAGGTCCGCGCAGATTTATCGCATCGGCGCTGGACCCCCTAGCGGCGCCTCCGGCGCCGCCCCTGGCGCTCCGCACGCCAGGGAGGGGGGTCCAGCGGATCCGCGCGGACCTCCGAGTTTTCATGTTTACGTCATTATTCGTTCCCCTAAGAGCGTTCCGGAACGCTCCCAGAGCGTTCCAGAACGCGCTGAGAAGGCCGCGGCGCCCGAGATATCCTCCAGATCCGCTGGGTCTCAGAGATTCTCGACGGATCCTCGCCCGATTTGGTTCTCGTCCTGGCTTCATCGTACCTTCGGGGGCGGCCCCTGGGCGGCGCTCGACAGTCCGGGCTGCGACGCGGAGGGCGGCGGTGGCGCCGCCTTCGTCGTCCTCGTCGTGGGTCACCGAGCGCGTTCCACTACTCGCATAGCGCCTGCTCGCAAACGTCCGGAAAAACATATTTGTTTGCCTCGTTGTGAGGGATCGTGCGTCGTGAGTCCTCCACGGCGGATCCTGGCCATTTGCGAGCAGTCGCTCTGCGAGCAGTGGAACGCGCTTGTGTGGTTGCTGGGAGATTCAGGGGGCCTTTTGGTGCCGCGCCGTCGTGGGGGCAGCCCGAGACCTCTGTGGGACCCAGGCTTCGACGTCGCGTGATTGCTGCAGCGCTGGCATTTTTTTCGCCACCACCTCGGCCTTCGGAAGTCGGGGGCCACGGTAGGGAGGGATGGGGTATAGGGGCGGATGGGCGTACGACTTGAGAATGAGAAGACCTTCTCAGAAGACGGCGGGACCTCTCAGGAGGGCCTACTTCTCAGAAGGCCCCCGGCCTTCTGAGCGGTTTTTTGTGTCTTCGGGGGCAGCTTTGAAAATTTCTCAGGAGGCTGGGGGGCTTCCGAGCCTTCTGAGAAGGCCCGCCCTTTTCACTTCCTCCCCTCGCCCGCTCCCCCCTCAGGACGCGGCGCCCCTCTTCGTACTGAGGGGCGGCGGACGAAAGAAGTGCGACCCCTCGGCTCTCGCGGGAGAGAGCTGCTGCACCAGACGGGTACAGCCTTCGATCAGGGGCAACGAGAGGGGGAGATAGGCGTAAGAGGGGGATGCATCGACCCCCCAATCGCTATAAATTTGATAGATAGCCCCTTCCCGCCCAGGAAGGTGCGGTTTCGCTGTCGGGGGGCCCATCGGCGATCTATCGGCGATGTATCGCCGATTCCTGGTCGATGTTTTATCCCCTATGCCAGTCCCCCCCGATAGGTGCCCCCGATTCGAACTGCCTGCACGTTCTTGCGTCTCATGGCAGGCCGCCCAAAGACCGCCGGCGGTCTCAACCGATCCCCACGGCAGCACATCCAAATATTTCATCTCTCCTTAGGGGAGCGAGCAATGGCACAACCACAAAAACTCGGGGGTCCCCGCGGATTTCTCGGATCGGCGCTGGACCCCCGCCAGGGGCGGCGCCGAAGGCGCCTCCAGGTGGCTCTAAAATCCGCGCGGGCCTCCGAGTTTTTTATGTTTATGCCATTGTTCTTTCCCCTGCTCTTGCAGGTGCATCCGGATGTGGCAATTGGGGCGTGGCTCTGTCAGTGTGCCCGGGGCCCGGGGGCGGCCTCGGAGCGCCAGAGGTGTGGCCTGCGAGCCGCGTCCTGCTGCCCGACGCTGCCCCGAGCCCGCGGGGGGCCTCGACCAGGCCTGCGGGCCCGACCGAGGCCTCCTGAGGCGGATCCCCGCGGCGGGGCTGGGCTTCCCAGCGGCGGTCCACGGGCCTCCGAGTGTCCATGTGTGTATTCGAGTGTACACATATGAAGAAAGCAGGAAGAAAGGAAAACGAATTAACATTACTACAATGACGATGCCAAAAAACGGCAATGACGAGTTGTCGCTAAATGCTGCGTGTTACCTTGTTGCTTTCCTGCCTGCATGCCAAACCTGAAGGACCACAGTGCATTGTGCGAAGCGCCAATGCAGTCTTGTGTAGGTGCATGTGTGTATATATATATATATGTATATATATATATATATGTATGTATGTGTATATATATATATATATCTAGATACACAGACAGATTGCGCGTGCTCGGCGCCGTGCGGTTTGACCCCAGAGAGGTAGTTCGGTGCCGTGTATCCTAGAGTGGGGTAGGATACACTACCTGCCAATTTCCCCTCTGGGGGGTGGCGGACATGTTGTTTGCACGGTGAGAGAAAGATATGGAACTGACGTGGTCCGCAACCGCTTCGGTTCAAGCCCGATCTTGAGAGGAAAAAGGATCCTCACCCTGGGCCAGATTTGCGCATGGTACTGGGGTCCGTGGCATAGACCGCAGAACTCCTGGCGTCGCCCGCGATAGCCAGGAGACCGGTGCGGCGGACACACGTGGAGCCCAATGTGTTGAGCTTCGCGAAATTCAACATAGCAGGAATCAGCTGCCCACTTGGAGATCAGCTTCGCATGTCCAGGACACGCTCCCAGTCGAGATTGTCGGTCGATGCTAGAAACGATGGGAGGTCAATGCGGACCCATTCCGCTGGTGGGTACTAAGTTGCTCGGAAAACCAGCGACGCACTCGGGTAATAGGTATGACTGGTTGCAGCGGAAATATGTTTTCAAGGCCCACATCGGAGCGTTAGGCGGTGAACTTGCTGAAAGCATAGAGGCAGCAGGGAAACAAACTCATTCGATCCCAGTTGAACATGCTCAACGACGCACGACGCGGACACTGAAACACGTTAACATGTTTTTCCCTACCTCGGCTCTGCCTACAGGGTTCTTACTCTTAGCTTAAAGGAGCCGGGCAGTGTAAAGCGCCCCTGGCGGTTCCCCCAGTCCCCGCCCCGCGGTTCCCCCCAGTCCCCTGGGATCTTTAGCTCTAGATTTAGCTTTAGCTCTAGCTTTAGCTTTAGCTTTAACTTAGCTTTAGCTTAGCTTTAGCTTAGCTGTAGCTTAGCTTTAGCTTAGCGTTTCGCTTAGCTTTTCGCTTGGCGTTTAGCTTCGCTTTAGCTTAGCTTTAGCTTAGTTTGATCTTAGCTGCAGCTTAGCTTTAGCTTAGCTTTAGCTTAGCTTTAGCTTAGCTTTAGCTTAGCCGTAGCATAGCTTCAGCTTAGCTTTATCATAGCTTTAGCTTAGCTGTAGCTTAGCTTTGGCTTAGCTGTTGCTCAGCTTCAGCTTAGCTGCAGCTTAGCATTAGCTTAGCTTTAGCTTAGCTTTAGCTTAGCTTTAGCCTAACTTTAGCTTAACTGCGGCTTAGCTTTAGCTTAACTTTAGCTTAGCTTCAGCTTAGCTTTAGTTTAGCTTCAGCTTAGCTTTATCTTAGCTTGAGCTTAGCTTTAGCTTAGCGTTGCTGTTGCTACTAATGCTGCTTTCCTAGGGGTTCCAACTCCTAGGTAGGGTCGCACTGGGATAATTTTCGCTAGCTTTCACTGGTGGTTCATTGCAATTTGTTGATGCGTGTCCGCCAAGTACATAGTTGGGAAACGTGGCGATTGTTCGTCAAACAAAAGGAGCCGTCGACTGACGCAGCTAAGGTCGTGCAGTTGATGGGGGTTGTCAACACCAAAGTTGACGGAGCCCCGAACAAGCTTTCAAAGCAGACGCATATTTTCAATAATAGGTTCCCGACGTCCGAAAAGCAGCACAACGAACGGCTTTCCGACACTTCGGAGCAAGCAGCATTGACGAATAATGTGCCGTCGAGTATCAAGTCGCAGATCGCCCCCCAGACGTTCGCGGCGGCAGATGCTTTGAAGGAAACGGTGTTAATCTATTGCATGCAGCAGCAGATGGGCGCAGCGGCGGCCAGTGCAGGACCAGCACCGATGGACACCAGCGCGATCAGCACAGGAAAAGGTGGATACCAGAAGAACTCAGGCAAGTGCACGAGCACTAATGAGAAGGGGACAGGCGCAAGCGATTCCAAAGATAAAGCGAGCAAAGACCAAACACGGTGGCCTAAGCAAAGCTCAGCGCGGTAAAGGTCGCGGGCAGCAAGATGTCATATGTCACCGCTGCGGCCGGAGGGGCCACTATGCTCGCAACTGACGAACTGCCCCGGCGACCCATCATGAGATTTCGAACGACCAACAGAGAAGGAGGTGGAACGCGACCGAGACCAGGGCCGCCGAGATCCAGCGCAGCACGAGAGGCGCAGGGCAGCATTTTGACATCAGCTATTGCAGCGCCAGGTTTGTCCGGAAGGCCAGCGCCAAGGACCAGGGTGCACGGGGGGCAGTCGCCAGGCAGCCCAGGCAAGCGACGAGCAGAGGATGCAGTTGTGGCAGGCTCAGCGGGCAATCGGACCAGGGCCGGGAACGCGGGCGCGTCGGTTCAGGTCGCGGAGGAGCTGGAGCCCAGCAGGGAGGAGAACGCCGAGCAGATGAGACAGCGCCCGATTTCGATTTGCGAGTTCACTGAGGAAGAAATCCAGATAACCAGGCGCGCGGAGCTTCGCGGGCTCCGCGAGCTTCGCACGACGGGCGACGGGCAGTGGTCAGGGGTGGATGGACGCGCAGAGGTCAGTTCCTTGCGTCGACGAGGCCAGAGCGGAGTGGGCGGAGTTCAACGTTCTGCGCGAGGCCATTCAACGCGCCGAAGAGGTCGGGGGACATGCTGTACACCCCAACTCCTGGCGCGAGTACCTTGCGAATTACGTTGGCGACGGCTACTATCGAGCGGTGGAAGGTGAAGTTCTGTCGTGGCATCTCTACGGCGCGTCGTCGCGCGCCTGTTCGGGGGGGGGGGGGTCTTGGGGCCGCCAGTGGAGCGCAGACAGTGCTGCTTCGAGTGCTTCGGTTAGGGCCCAGGGGCGAACTTTGGAGGGCTGGGCGAGGTAGAGGTGGCATTCGACGCGCGCTACAGCGAGACTAACGTCGAGCAGCTGAACATGAGGAGGTTCGTTTCCGAGCCGCGCGCCCACGTTGGCGAGAGCTCGAGGGGGTCTGCGGCAGGGCGCGCGGGCGACGGCGTCGGGGCCAGCGAGCCAGATTTGCCCGGCGAGTTCTTGGAGGCTTTCGGGGCGCATTTCCCATTGAAGAATTCGCTTGCAATGACGAGTGAGGGCTCGCTGTTGCGCCCCGGGACGGCGATCGAGAGGCCGAGCAATGAGAAGGCCATTTAGTCCGAGTGGCGCCCGCGACGATCGACCGCCTGCGGGGGCGCGCGCGAGTTCAGAACGCGGTGGCGGCGGCGACGCCTGGACAAAAAAGCGAGGCGTAACAATAATGCGAGGAGGTGCTCAGGAGGCGAGGAAGGGCGCGCGCTGGGACCGGCGAGCTCCCATTCGCGTCGGCAGGGAGGCGTGGCGCGCAGTTCGTGGCGAAGATGCAATCGGACTCATGCGGGCTGCGAAGCAGATCAACGACGCAGAGGACATGGCCATTGCGATGTTGCGCCCGGGCGTTCCGGTAACATCAAGCTGAAGGTAGAGGTCGAAAGAGATTGGGGAGTTGGCAAGATCGGTAGGGGGCACTTCGAGTGGACGCATCTACTTAAATGAGACGGTAGAATCAGTTTTCAGTCGGACGCAGGCGAGTCCAACAATTTCTTCAGCGGAGGCTGAGACCTACATTCTGGGACCTGGAGCGTGCGATGATCTGCTCGTGAAGTCGTTTCTGGAGGAGTTGGTCCCGGGTCTACCAGCGAGCTTGCAGTTGGAGGTAGACAGTTCAGCAGCTACTCATCGCAGAGCAGGCTTGGACTTGGGAAGCTCAAGCATGCGCGTCTACGCCAACTGCTGGTTTAAGGTCTACTGCGGGGAGGACGTCTGGCGATCCACGAGATTCCGGCTGCGCATGGCAGCAGCGACTATGGCGCGACGTACTTGGAGAAGGCGGAGTTCGAGAAGCGTCGATGGCCCGCGGGACTTCGCGATCCGAACGGCGGGGATACCGTTGATGTTGTTGGCGGAGGTGGCGACAACACCGAGAGTGTTTCAGCTCGTGGAGAAGGCGGAGTGCGGCATGGTCTGGCTTTGTGTTTGGGAGGTTCACTTACAATGGTCAAGTGCACGGGTGCATCTGCAGAGTTGGCAGTCGTTAGCAATGCAGACAGTTCCTGGGTAGTTCCATTGTGGATGCAGTTGATGGCGGTGCTTACTCTCGCGATTAGCGGTCTGATATTTTGCGCTGGTGCTCGCATTGGACACATCATCGGACAGGCATGCGCCGAGGGGCGTCGCAAGCAGGAGCCATGCATATGCATCAGAGGAACAGAGAAGGGAATCCCTGACCCCAAGAATTATGACTTGCCAGGAGTATGCCCGAATTGCTCGGCTACGCCACCACGTCCTTTGACGATGCATGCGAGAAAAAAGGCCGCTTGAGCAAGCGACAGCGTGACATGAGTGGGCGCAAGGCCGCGCTTACTGATCGCATGAAGGCTGAGGAGCCTTCGTGGCGCTAGCTTGCTTGTGAGAAGACAGTGTAACTTGATTGTCGTTGGCGGGCTCGCGCGTGCGAGTGCTGGCGGCGGACTCGGTCGATGTTTTGCGCCTCTCCGTAGGGGCGCGCGTGCATATGCCCCTATTGATCGTGCTCGGCGCCGCACAGCGCGACCCTAGAAGGGCAACGTGATACCGTGCCAAGGGCGCGGTGCATCTTAGAGGGAATTAAGATATTACACCAGAGACAAACCCCAATCAGTGGATGGTTTGAAGATTAATGATCTGCATATTGAGATCGATTGTCAGATCGACAATGGACTCGATAGCGAGGACGATTGTAAGGTCGATCGTGAGGCCGATAGCGAACTCGACTCAATGATATCGATAGTGAGATCGATCGTGTGCTCGTTTGTGCGATCTATAGTGATATCGATTGTGAGATCGAGGTCGATAGTGAGATCGATAGAGAGGTGGGTCATGATATCGATGGTGAAACCGGTCGATAATAATGATAATAATAAAACGGCCAATAATGATATCGATTGTGAGATCGACTGTGAGGTCGATAGTGAGATCGATAACGAAGTGGGTCATGAGATCGATGGTGAGACCGACCGATTAAAAAAACAGCCGAGAACCCGGGAACCCGGGAACCCTGCCAGCCACCGAAATCGGCCCAGAACCCGGAGCCAGGAACTTTGGAAACCAGGGGCCCGGGAACCCGGAACCGGGAGCCCGGGAACCCAGCGTGCGACCGAAATCGGCGGTTTTTTTTTGGGGGGCAACATCCTGCAACTTCCGTTAGGACCCTTTCAGTGCAAACGCTGCTTGGGGAACCATACCTGCGATTTCCCCCATCAGGGGGATGAAGGACATGTTGTTTGCACGGTGAAGGAAACGTGTGGAGCTGAGGTGGTCCGCGGCCACACGAGGTCAAACCCGACTTTGAGAGGAAAAGGGATCATCACTTCGGGCCAGATGTGCCATACATACACACATACATATATATGTATACACATATATATATATATATATATGTATATATATATATATATAGATAGATATAACCACGGCCACCATGGAGCGGAGGGCGTGCAATGTCAGCTCGAGCTTCCATTATTGAGGCCCTCCTTTCGGGACCTTGTTGGGCCGTCATAGGGAGCCTCCCGGGCCATTATGTGGCCCTCTCAGGCCGTGTGGGGGCTGTCTCGTGGCGATTTGGGGCGCCTTTACGGGCCGTCTTGGAACGTCGAGCGCTAGAAAGTCCATCACAAACGCAGGGAGTATCAATAGGTGTTGCCTCTCGGGGCCTTTTGGGGCCTATTCGGGGTACCTTGGCCCGTCTGGAGGTCATCTTGGGCGTCCTTGGGCAGCCTTCAAGCGGCGTGTGGACCTCTTGGACTATCTTGGGAGTATACTGGGGCCCTCTTAGCCCGTTGCTGCACCCTCATGCCTGGAAGACGCTTGCGAGAACGTTCGGAAACGCACGCTAGCGCCCAGAACTTTGGGGGTGCGTGCCCCGTACAGAGCATTGCAGTTCTCAATACAGAGTGGTCCACTGGACCTGAGGACGTTCCACTTCGTGCCTCGCAGCATGGCACAAGGATGCATGTACACATACGTATATACGTGTGCGTGTGTGTGTGTGTGTTGTGTGTTGTGTTCTGTGTTGTGCGTTGTGTGTTGTATGTGTGTGTTGTTTGTTGTGCGTATTGTGTGCGTTGTGCGCTGTATGTGTTGTGTGTGTGTGTCTATGTGCGTCGTCCCTCCCAGGAAAGCCAGGAACAACAGCGCGACAGGAGAGCCGGGGGGAGACCCAGAGGGTCTCCAGAGCTCCCACGGGGGGCTCCCAGAGTGGGTTGCGAGCGGAGGGCGAGCGTGCGGGGCACTGTTTTTGAGGGGCCGGTCCCCTCTGAGGGGTGCCCTTTGCCTTTGTCGCAGAAGGCCGCCCCCGTCGTCTTGTATGCTGGCTGCTCGCCAGGAGGTAGCGTCACAAGAGGCTGGCGCAGAGGGGAGAAGTGCTCCAGCATGTGGGGCAAGGGCGTGACGAGAGTGGCTGGGGTATTCGCGCCCAGCGAAGCTATAATTGCACAAGAGGAACAAGCCCCGAGCAGTGCATCACGCGCCACGACCACACCGTCGCCGCCGCCGCGTTGTCGCCGCCGCCGCCGCCGACGACGACGACGACGTCGACGAGGACGAGGCTTGCCAAAGATCCAAGTGCCGGGCGGCTAATTCGGGGGGGAGGGGATTGGAGGGAAAGGGCAAGAGGGGAAGGGGGGAGGCGATCTCCGGAAAGGCATGGAAAGGGGATTGGGAAGGGAAGGGGATGGGGGAAGGAGCCCCGCGCAGCGGCGGGAGGAGAGGACGCCGAGACGCGGGAAGGCAAGGGGAAGGGGAGGAGACGACCTCGTTGTTACTTGTTTGCGTCTGGGCCCTTCTCGAGCTTCTGGAGGCTTCTCGGGACCTCCGATTAGGAGAGCTCCGGAGTTTTGCGGAGGCCTGCCGAGACTTTCGGGGGATGTCAGGGCAATGGGCGATCAACGGTGTATATGTGGGAGTTGTGCGAAGAGGAGGAGGAGGAGGACGAGGAGGAGGAGGGACGAGGAGGAGCAGGAAGAGGAGGAGGAGAGATGGGAGGAGGGACAGGGGATGGGAGAATCCGATGCTAAGGAAAGCCCCCTGTTCCAGGACTCGGTTCCATGCGCGAGGAAGAATCAGACAAAGGAGAGTGGAGGTGAATGCAACAGGAAACGGAAGGAGACACGACTATGGGACTTGCACATCACGAAGCACTTGCATTCCATCAAGACTTGGACAATCCAGGAAATAATACACACGCAGCGTGAGACATCTACTGTCGTTTTCCATCGCTATGTGTGTTGACGTCCCTGGTGATGTTCAGGCGATTTGCACTCCCTCTCGCGTCCTCGTCAGATGAACGAACAAACAGTCATAAATGCGTATGTCACTGTTTTCGCTACAGAGACGGGCCATGGCAGCCGGCACGATTTGCACAGGTTCTGTCGTGGTGCTCTTTTTTCTCATCATCCGATGCGGCTGAAGGCACGGTGCACTCGTGGATCTCCGTTCCGCCGTGTTGCCGCGCAGCGCCCTGAGATATGCCCGCTTCTCTTGAAGAAAGGTGAGTGCGTGTGTGTTTCTCTTTGCTCGGTCTCCCGAGGTAGCCTCGGTGTTGCTGCTGGCGACCCTGGGGGAGCCGGCGGGGAGCCGCGTCTGCGACTGCCTGAACTGGAAGCAGGCCTTGGGGTGTCCGGTGGTCTCACCAGTTTGAAACATATCCTTATCCCTGTGTTCGGCATCAACTCACCTCGATGCCGATTTCAAGGATCCCCTCAGTGTCTGAGGGCACATCCCTAAGATTGTCGTCGCTTTTTTGCTCGCCCATCTTAGTGATAGGGATAGGGATCATTATGGTCGTCTCTCGATGCCCAGCGCCATGAAGATCGCGGCCCCGTGACAATCCACGGCCGATGCTCTCGACCCCGTCTCCGAAGGCATCTTCTGTTGGGCCACGATCCTCGTGAGGGGTGTGCCGAAAGGGGCGCGGAGCCGCCGTGCAGCCTTTGCCACTGGAGCCTTCTGTGGAGCTCCCTACCGGGCCACGACGCTCGTGAGGGGTGTACCGAAAGGGGCGCGGAGGAGGAGGAGGAGGAGGAGGAGGAGGAGGAGGAGGAGGAGAAGGATGAGGACGAGGAGGAGGAGGAGGAGGAAGCAGGAGGCGCGGGGACTGTCGCATCAAAGCGAGGACCACTGTCCTGCCCTGCCCTGCCGCGCGACGCTCCGCGGTGGGCCCCTGCCGCTGCCGCCTCCCTGTGCGGCGCTCCGACGCCGCGGGCGGTGCAGTATCGGTGGTGGTGGTCTGGAGCTCTGGGCACAGTCCTGTGGCGGCCACCTCCACCTCAACGGGGAGGAGGAGGAGGAGGAGGAGGAGGAGGAGGAGGAGGAGGAGGACCAGTTCCATTTTTTGGAGCACGCGGCAGGAGGATGAGGACTAGTGCAAACCTGAGACTCATCAGCGATGTTGGGATACATCCTCCTTCCGAGCTTCCTCGTCACAGGACCCTACAAGGGCTCATGTCTACTCGGGCAGTTGCCGCGTTGGGGGGAAGCCGTGTAAAAAACAGAAGAATGCCCAAACACCATTCTCAGGATTTCAACGCCACGAGTTAGTTTGATTGTGAGGTCTTGGCGATCCTGAATCGTGCCAGAAACCACTCCTGGGACTTCAACACAGCGAGCATCAACGTAACTGCTGCACTCTGATTATCAGGAGTCGGTACAAACACCGTTACTGACACGTTAACCATGAAGACTAATGCAACTTCCGCAATTGCTTAAAACGCATGTGCGCGGCGCTAAGGCGAGGGCCACATTTTGAAAAGGAGCCGACATCAATATGTGAAGCTCCAGCGAGGCCGCCTTCAATCCGTGAAGCCCATGCAAATATCTCAGTCGAATGCGCGCCGCGCTGAGGCGAGAGTCACATTTTGAAAACAAACCGCCCTCAACCCATGAAACTCTTGCAAATGATCACAAAGAGTGTGCGCGGCGCCGAGGCGAGAGCCGCATTATAAACACAACCCGCGAGAGCTGCATTTTGAAAACGACCCACCATCAATCCGTAAAGCCTTTTTCATTTGTCAAGCGAATGTGCGCGGCGCTCAGGCGAGATTGAACACCACCGGCCTTCCAGTTGAGAAGCTGTTGTCAGCTGTTAAGCTTCAAGGTCGCAAATGGTGAGGAAGTCTCAGGCGAAACGCCCTGCCCGATCTTTCGACCCGCCTCGGGGTGCGATAGGGAGGAGTTATGTGTAAAGAACAGGAACGGAGGAGGAACAGGTGGAGAAGGAGGAGAAGGAGGAGGAGGAGGAAGAGAAGCGGGGAGAAGGAGGATGAGGAGAAGCAGGAGGAGAAGGGGGAGGAGGAGGAGGAGCGGGCAGGAGGAGGATGAGGAGGAGCGGGGAGGATAAGGAGGAGGAGCGGGGAGGGGGGGACGGGTGGTGATGATAAGGTGGTAAGGATGTTGGTGATGGTTATGACTATAATGATGGTTATGGTTTTGATTATGACGATGATGGTGATGATGATGAGGGTGGTGATTATCTTGATTATGATGATGACGACGATGCTGGTGAATATGTTGATGGTGATGATGTTGATGTTGCTGTTGCTGATGACGATGGTGGAGGTGCTGATGGTGATGATTGATGGTGATGGTGGTGGTGGCGATGATGATGATGCTGATGATGATGATGTCGATGATGATGATGATGTTGATGATGCTGGTGATGATGATACTGATGATGCTGCTGATGATGATGCTGATGGTGATGATGCTGGTGATGCTGGTTATGATGGCGATGGAGGTGATGATGGTGATGATGGTGGTGATGGCTGTGATTGCGATGATGGTGATGATGGTGATGATGGTGATGACGGTGATGACGTTCATCATGATTCTGATCATGCTGATGATGAGGATGAGGAGGACGACTCGATTCGAGTCTGACTTTGGCCCAGCTTGTCGCGGCTCTCTGCAGCAGCTTGAATAATCACATTGCATTGCCCTTGAACACGTGCCGCCACACATCACAAGCCAACAGATCGTGTCTCTGGACCTGTTTGGGTGGTTACGCTACCCCTCACTCGCACATGAAGATGCGCGGTTGCACAAACCGCGCTTCTTGCATTGCTGGCATTTCTAGATTTGTATGCAGCAGACTCTGGGGTCAGCGAGCACTCGGACAAGTCCTCTGCCCTCTCAGCGTCAGGGTGTGGAGGCAGGATTGAGAAGCGATAGCCATGTGCCAATGTGCGTGTCCTAAAGCTGCCCCAGCGTCACTTTTAGGCAACTTGCCTTCATCTGCAGGCAGCTCTGGAATCGGTAGTGAGGTCACCTGTTATCTCAGAGCCGCCATCCGAGCAGACATCCACGTAGAGCGGGCCCGTGGGTGCTATCACGGGCACGCAGCGTTTCCTTCGTCCATCCCGACATCATCCACCGACGCCGAACCACAAATGACTTCCCTGGCCAGCTCCACCAGTAGATCTTCCAGTCACTCGGACGAGGCCGGGAAGCTCTCTCGAAGCCGTTGCTCCACCATGTCGTACACGAGGTCGACTATGCTGACTTGTTGTGGCGAGCTCGTCTCATCTGTCTGCGAGGCAATCCCAAGCCGCAAGGCGTCAGTCGTCGCGTAGCTTCGTCATCCGTGCTGTCCTGAACTGGAAGGGGCCCTTCCCAAAACTAACATTGCTCGTGACGGTGAGCGTATTCAGCAAGCACGTGAACGGGTCCACGAAGTGGTTGAACGGGAGTTGGAACGTGAATTGGTTCAGAATGTGCCCGAGCGGGTTCCGCTGTGACTTGAACGGGCTCATGTAGTTTTGGGGCGGGTTGCCCATGAAGTTGAAAGGGTGCAGCTGGAACCTGAACGGGTTCGTGACCGTGGACAGATTCAGCTTGAGCCTGGACAGTTCCATGCGGAATCTGAGTGGGTTCAGCTGTATCTTGAACTGGTTCCGCCTGATCGGGACCAGGTCTGTCAACCTGAGCGGTTTCAGCTGGTGGTGAAATTTGTTCAGCTGGAGCTCTGTCCTTTGCGCACCCCCTCCTTCGGATGCAACTCCTGGGAGGTCAAATTCAGATTTTACCCTGGTCCGAGATCTGGCTCAATCCTGGTCAATCCGGCTAATGCCCGTTTAATTCCTTTGAATCCCGCCTGATGCGGCTTCATCCCGCTGAATCCGAGGCCCGCTCTGGCGTAGCAGACTTCCAATGAGGCTTAATCCTCCTTAATCCTTCCGGCGAAGATCTCCCAGTAGTTGCCTCCTAACCCTCCCCATCTCGAGTTGTGCCGTCCTTGCCGCCCCCCTGGGCGCCACCCTCGCCGGCCAGCGTCGCCCGGTGGACCCGCCCATCGCCCGTGCCGCTCGACACGTCCGGCGGCAGGTGTCCGGGGCGGTGACAGCATCGGCGGCGTGGGCTCGGCCATCAGCTCATCAAGGATGCTTCGGGCGACTCGGTATCGTTTCACCGATGCCGATCCCCATTCCCATCCCCATCCCTATCCCCACCATCCCACCACCCCAGTTGGGGACATATCCGAGATGTGGATATGCCTATATCCCCATCTCGGTGGTAAGTCGGCCAGTGGGGCCCAGGCCACGCCAGCTGGGATAGGGATCGGTTGGAACCATGCTCAAGGACGGGGATCAATCCGTTCCAGAGCGTTCCGGAACGCTCTCAAAGCGTTCCGGAACGTTTTGAGAAGGCCGCGGCGCCCGAGGCATCCTCCCAAGCCGCCAGATCTCAGAGATTCGCGATTTGTCCTCACCCGATGTTGTCCTCGTCTGGATGTGCATGCCTTCGAGCTGCTCTCTACGCGCTGCTGAGCACTGGAGGCGGCTGCGGCGCTGCTCTGCGTCGACGTCGTAGCGGCCACAGCGAGGCCGACGCGCCTGTCGTCCCGTGGTGTGCCCCCCAGCACTGCGAGGCCCTGGTGCACGAGCCGCTCTGTGGCCGGTTGCACGCGCGGGGCCATCTCTGCGTCGTAGAGGGGGAGGCGCAATGCTCTCCGGGGGCCCTGAGGCCACCTGTGGCTATGCTCGACCGCGCGGTGGCTGTGGTGAGGCGGAGGAGCATGAGTCGCTGGGGGGGGGCAGCGTCAACATGACACCGACGCCAGCAGCGACAGCGACAGGAGGCCCTTGCGCGCCGCGGGTCCTGTCTCCCTCTGGCTGCCTCAGCCCTTTTGCCTTATCGCTGCCGCGCTCCGAGGAGGACGAGGAGGTGAAGGAGGCGAGAAGTGAAGGAGGAGGGGGGATGGCATGGAACGTGACCAGGAGGACCTAAAAACCCGATGGCACGGTTTTGTCTCGCCAGTCCCTGGAGCTCGCGAGCCCTTCCCCAGCGGGGCTGCATCTCTAGCTGTTTTTGACGGCCCTGGTAGCGCGACACAAGAAACCCGCGGACTGACAAATAAGAAAAAACGCCAGCGCGGTTTTCATGGAGCCGCCAGCGGGAGGCCGCTTGTGGGGAGGAGGGACGGTCTCGGGAGCTTCCTGACGCTGGCACGAGGGCTCCAGAGGCCCTCGAAGGCCTTTGGAAAATTCGGGGGGCTCGAAAGGGGGCAAGACCACAAAACATGCTGTCCCTCCTTCTGCTCCTCCGATTGCGGTCGGGGACATTCGTTTAGCGTGTCGCACCTCCGGTTCCAGCCCACCATGCTTCGGCGCCGCACGCACGGCTCGGTCCCCGAGCGTCAGCGGCCCGAGCCGTTCGCAGATAGCCACCCCGCGGAGCGGGGCGACGCGCTATCCGCTTGCAGGGCATGGCGCGTCGCCGGGGCTGCCGCCGCAACACGCTAGGCAAAAGTTCCCGTCCGCGCTCCCCGATCTACTTGGCCCCTCGTGGGGCGGTTATGTGTATCATGCGTAAGAGTCATGTTCGGCACAAGTTGTTGTCTCCCCCAGCAGTTGACTTTTACTGCTGCTCAGTAGAGTTCGCTAACAGGCGCTGATTGGCGCGAGTAGACACTGACAGGCGCTTTCAGGCGCTAATCGACGCGAACAGGCGTCCAGAGCCGCTAGCAGGGACATGGATCGACACTTGTAAACGCTAATGGGGCGAAACCTGTTTCAAGATCATTCTCGCACCTATGCCCGCCCTGCGCTACTCGGCCGGGTGCAGAGGCCGTCGGGTGCCCCGTGAACCCTTTTTCCCGTCACCCCCCCCATGACGCAACGCCCGAGACCCGCGAGGAGCTGCGGGCTCCGCACCCTTCCCCCGGGGGCCCCTTCCGACGCGCCCCCTGCTCCGCCCCCCGCCGCATCGCGGCGACCTGCGTCGTCGCTATCATGGTCGTGTCGTCGCCGCCGTCCTCGTCCTCGTCCTCGTCCTCGTCGTCGTCGTCGTTGTCATCCGCGTCGTGCTCGTCGCCGCCGCCGTCCTCGTCGCCGCCGCCGTCGTTGTCGTCGTCGTCCTCCTCATCCTCCTCCTTCTCCTCGTTTTCCTCGCTTGTGCCGTCGCCGCCGTCGTCGTCGCCGTCGTCGCAGTCGTCGTCTTCTTCGTCGTCGTCGTCGTCGTCGGCGGCGTTGTCGTTTGTCATCGTCGTCATCGCGTTCGTCATCGCGTTCGTCGTCGTCGCTCGTCGTTCGTCGCCGTGCGTCGTCGTTCCTCGTCGCTCGTCGCTGCAGCTCGTCGCTTCTTTCCGCGCGCGGCCCCGAGGTGTACGGCGAGGGCCTCGCGGAGTGCGGCGAGGGCGCAGGTTCCGGGCGGGCGTGCCCCCCCCACCTTTGGACGCCGCTTCTCGCCAGCCCCGGATCCGTCCTCGTCCTCGTCCTCGTCGTCTCTCCTCCTCCTGCTCTTCCTTTCACCTTCGTCCTGCTACTTTTCTCCTCATCCTCCCCCTCCTGTCTTCTCTGCCTCCTCCTCCTCCTCCTCGTCCTCGTCTCGTCCCTCCTTCTGCTGCGCCTGTCCTCGGATCCTCTTCCTGGAGATGGAGGAGGAGGAGCAGCAGCAGCAGCATCGAAGGTCGATGTGTGTTTGGCCTGTTTGGACCGCTTCTCCTCCTCCTCCACCTCCTCCTCCACCTCCTCATCCTTCTCCTCCTCCTGTGGAGGGGGAGGAGGAGGAGGAGAAGGAGAAGGAGTTGGAGGATAACGATATAGAGCCAGCAACGGACCCAAGCCACACACTGTTGTTTCGGATGGTCCGCGCGGATTTCCCTGCCGATCTCCGCCGGTGCGACTTCTCCCGACTCGGCTGTCGATTTTTGCGGATCCGATTCATTTCGATCGCCGATCATATTTATCGATTCGATTATGGGTTTTCCTGCCCTGGTCGTCCCTCCCTTCTTTCCTCTTCATGATCCTTCTCGGGATTGCACGAGCGCGCTTCAGAGCCACTTCGTAGGTTCGGTTCCAGCGCCGGCCATATTGATAGTTTCTGAGGGTTCTTGATCATCTTGGCCTTCTGCGGGAATCGCTGGCTTGGCCTGGAGCGAAGAGCAGGACGGCGAGACACAGGCCACAGGGCAGCGACGAATTGCTCGTTGGAAGTGGTAGCCCGCGTCTTCACGAGTTTTCTGGCGAACAGGGAGGACCTTCCACATGGAGGCACACGTGCATCACAGGGTGAGGCCCCGAAAAACAGCGGCGACCCCAAGGTGTCGACGAGCCATCGTCCTTACCCCATTCTTCCGATGTCGTAGAATGTGTCCAGCATGCCATTGCACGGGCGTTCGTTGGCGTACCTTGCAGCATAATATTCGATTGACCAAGTTGGAACTCCGAAGGGTTACAGTTTGAAGGCAATTTGTTAACGTGTGCCTCACTGCGCGAAAGGATGCATGAACACAACATTGACCTTTTGGTTGCGGCTGCTCGTTTCACCAAGGCGATCGGTTCTATCAGCCACCTGTCATGGCGTGCGTCTCTGAGTGAGCAGGGAGCTCCTGACTCTATATCCAAGTGTTTCGCAGACTGTAGGAGAAGCAGACAGGGCAGATCCTATCTGATCGTACGAGTCGCGTCGTCAGATCGGGAATGGAACCAAACATGGGGTCCGATGATCCACACCGTCTTTGCTTGAGTCACTTGTGCGCGATTGGGAGGATTTCGGACCGACAACGTAGGGCAAACTTCTTGCGAATCTTCGGCTTGCGGATGACATCATACATGTTGGAGCTACGCGTGCACAAATATGACACATGACAGAGGCCCTGTCAACACGCGCTGGAAAGAACCCAGGCTGAAAGTGCACACAGGGACAGGCGAGGCGTCCTTACGCAATCTCACGTGCAAATCGGGGCTGGCAGAATTGAAGTGTTCCCAATGGACGGGATCGTTTCTTATCCCGACCGCGAGCTGTACTTCTGGAGAGTTCAGAGCCGCATTGCGACGGGATGGGAGGCCGTCAGCAAACTTGGGGCATTGAGCCACAAGCGTGACAGTCTGCGGTCTGGGCCTCGCCTGTTCGATGTCGTGGTGTCCCTGGTTGTTGCCTACGGGAGCGGCGCGTGGGCCATGGCGGCGGCGACGAGCTGAGCTCCAGACGGGCTCGCGAAAGATGTTTCGCGCAAGTATTGTCATTGCGACACCACCGATGCGAGCAGCCTCCGTGGGGAGAGTGGACGTACCGCGCTTGGATTGACATCGCAGAGCATCTCGCGAAGCATGGCGGGACCGCTCTGCCGCAGAAGACCGGCGGCGGTGCCGACGGGAGGTGGCCGGAGGCGATATGCTGGATGGTTCGCCGCCCGGGCGTTGGGCGCCAGAACGGCCGCTGAAACGCTGGACAGGCAAGGTCAGCATTTCTCGACTAGACTTAGGAGTGACCTTTCGCCGGAGTGACCTTCTGGTGCGGGCCCAAGGGGGCCCCCCGATCGCCGAACGCGATGCGATAGCAGCGTCTTGCGCGCCTGTGTTTGGTCCCCCCGCGGCCCCCGAAAAGCCGCGCACCAAAGGTCACTCTGACCCAGGGTCACTCTTGCGTGTAGCCGAATTTCAGAAGTGTGAGGCAATGTCGCGCGAAAGTTGCGACAACAACACAGCCCTGTTGGCAGCCCGCGCAGGCTGCGCTGTGGCACGCGCCGTTCTGCCGTCGACCGTCACGTTAGCGCACGGGCGCAGCAGATTCGCCGCTTGGTCATCTCATGTCTTTTTGTTACGGAATAAGTATCCTGAGTTTTCGCTTCGGAGTGCGAGTTTCGATATCGTACCGCTCTTAGTGGTAGAATGGTCACCGCGAATCCGATGAACGTTCTCTTTTGCTCGCTGGAAGCAGTTTCAACGAACCGAAATGTTGGAGCCTTCCGATCCGTCTCGCTTCCGCTGGGCGCCCTGCGGCTGAGCGTGCTGTTCTGCGCTGATCCGGAAGAAGCGTGACGACGGCGGCACGTTGCCTCTGCCTCCTCCTGCTTGCTGCTTTTCGTTGGCATCTGAGGCACACGGGCACAATTGCGAAAAGATCGGCCACTCCCAACGACACTGGCGTGATACAGCGAGGCGTCAGGCAGACCGACAGCGACAACGACGACGACAGCGACGACGACAATGACGACGCCGGCGACGACGGGAGGCAGGAAGAAACGAGAGGAGGAAATTGAGGAAACGAAACGTCAGAGTGACCTTTTCGTTTGTGCGAGGCTGTTGGCGGCGCCAGGAGGCCAAACGATCAAGCACGCAGGCCGCTACTGCCGCATCGCATGCAACGGCCGACAAGCGTGCACTCTTTATTTGTAGTGTAGACGAGGGGGTCTCTGGAAGGCTCCCACGTCGAGGCGCCTGTAATGAAGGTTCAGCCTTCATGGGGGTCTCCTGTTTCTTTCCATCTTCCTCTGGCCGTCCCGTGCTTGGGAGCCGGGCGGAGCCGAGCGACCCCGCCTCCTCTCCCTCCGCTGACCTGGCTTCGGGAGCTGCTGTGTGGCCGCCCCGGGTTCGCGACGTGACCCTCGTCGACCCGGGCGAGCGCCGGCCCCGACCAGAGAGGCCCTGGCAGACCCCAGGGCAACGAGGCGCCCAGCCTCTCTGGCACACCGAGGCACCGCGCCCAGAGAGATCTCGCCCGTCGATCCTGGAGGGCCGAGGGCAGCACTCGGCAGGCAGCGCAGACGTGGGCGCATGCCCTGCGGGCAACGTCTTTGTCCACACCCAGTGCGTCTGGGAGTTTCGGACACCCTTCCCAAGAAACATGAGGCGCACTGGATGTGGATTATAATCTGCCTCCAAGAAGCTTCATTTTTATCCATATCCAGTGCGCCTCGGCCTTGCGGCGCCCCTTCCGAGAAAGTCCAGGACGCACTGGATATGGATATAAATATTGCCCGCATGCCCGCACGCTCGACGAGGGCGTGGACGATTGAAACAGTGCTCGCAGAGCTCTTCCACTTCTTGGCCCGCGCCGGCGTCAGCGTGCCGGCCTCGGCGCTCCCCTGGGCGAGGCAGGTAGAGTCGGGGCGCTGAAGAAGGAACCCTTTTCATTGGGGAGGGGCTCGGTGTGCCTCGATTGCTGCACAGTTTGCCTTGGGTTTTCCTGAGGTTTCCCATGGGGAATCGGAGTTTCACTTGACGAACGAACAACACACACCCATACCCATAGGGGCGGTTGTTGGGAGGAGGACTCGCTATGGGTATGGGTGCGGGTTGTCGGACCCTGGGGAACGATCCCGTTCGAGCGGGGACCCCCATCCGACAACACGTACCCATAGCCCGCTCCGACCCCCCTATGGGTATGGGTGTGTGTTGCTGGTTCGCCATAACTTATGAGAAAAAGGGGACTCGTTCAGGGTTCCTTAGGTCAGTGCCCCGACTGCAGCAGGGTTTGCGGTCGGGGCGTCGAGGGTGGGGGACGCGACGTGTCTTGGAGAGTTGAGCGCGCCGTCGCTAGCGAGTGCCACGCGTTTTGTGGGGAGACTTGATTCTTAGGCTTACGCCACACCGCCGACCCCTTGTTTATGCCAATCTGGGGGTAGTAGAAGCTGCGAAGGGGTGAAAAGGCGAGTGATATTTGTTTGGTGTCTGTTCGCCGCCACCGCCAGAGGGTCTCGGGCAGTTCCGCGGGGAGGTCCGAGCGGACGGCGACACCGCGAGTTTTGGAGCCACTCGGGGGCCGTTTCGGAGCCTTTGGGGTGCTTCTTGGTGGTTCCTTGGGGCGTCTGGGCGGCCTCGTGAGGGCCTCTGGGGGCCTCTTGGGGCACTCTTGTGGCCCCCTGGGGCTCCTGGGGGCAGAACACTAGAGTTTCAACATGTTTGGTCGCCCTCTTGGGCCCCTATTGGTGCCGTCTTGGAGCCTTCTTGGGCCGTCTTGGGGACCTCTTGGGCCGTGTTGGGGCCGTCGTGGGCCGTCTGGAGGCCGTCTTGGGGGCCTCTTGGGCCATCTTGGGGCTGTCTATGGGGCCTCTTTGGCCGTCTTGGAGCGTCGGAAAGCCGAAAAGGCGGAAAAGCCAAAAACATCGAGAAACACCATGGAAAATCAAAAATTGTAGACTCTTGGGGCCCTCTTGGGAGACTTGTTTGGGACCTCGGGGGCCGCCTTGGAGACCTCTTGGCCCGTCTTGGGGCCATCTTGGGCGTCTTGGAGCGGTCGTTTGGCGTCTCGCGGCCTTCGTGGGCCGTCTTGGAGGCCTCTTGGAGCCTTCTTGGCCCGTCTTGAGGCCCTCGTGGGCCCGGAAAAGCCCTGGAACCGCTCGTCCCGGCCGTGCTGCGCTCGTCCCGGCCCCCTCCCCCCCTCCAAATCGGCCCTCTTGGGCCGTCTTGGTGACCTCTTGGGCCGTCTTGGGGCCGTCTTGGGCCGTCTGGAGGCCGTCTTGGGAGACTCTTGGGCCATCTTGGGGGTATCTTTGGGGCCTCTTTGCCTGTTTTGGAGCGTCGGGAAGCCGGAAAGGCGGAAAAGCAAAAAACATCGAAAAACACTTTGGAAAATCAGCAATTTTAGACTCTTTGGGCCCTCTTGGCACATTTGGGACCTCAAGGCTGTCTTGGAGACCTCTTGGCCCGTCTTGGGGCCATCGTGGGCGTCTTGGAGCGGTCGTTTGGCGCCTCGGAGCCTTCGTGGGCCGTCTTGGAGGCCTCTTGGGGGCTTCGTGGCCCGTCTTGAGGCCCTCTTGGGCCAGGAAAAGCACCGTGGATCGCTCGTCCCGGACCCCTCCCCACCTCCAAATCGGCCCTCTTGGGCCGTCTTGGGGACCTCTTGGGCCGTCTTGGGGCCGTCTTGGGCCGTCTGGAGGCCGTCTTGGGGGATTCTTGGGCCATCTTGGGGCTATCTTTGGGGCCTCTTCGCGCGTCTTGGAGCGTCGGGAAGCCAGAAAGGCGGAAAAGCAAAAAACATCGAAAAACACTTGGAAAATCAGCAATTTTAGACTCTTTGGGCCTTCTTGGGAAGCTCATTTGGGACCTCAAGGCCGTCTTGGAGACCTCTTGGCCCGTCTTGGGGCCATCGTGGGCGTCTTGGAGCGGTCGTTTGGCGTCTCGGAGCCTTCGTGAGCCGTCTTGGAAGCCTCTTGGGGGCTTCGTGGCCCGTCTTGAGGCCCTCTTGGGCCAGGAAAAGCTCCGTGGATCGCTCGTCCCGGCCCCCTCCCCCCCTCCAAATCGGCCCTCTTGGGCCGTTTTGGTGACCTCTTGGGCCGTCTTGGGGCCGTCTTGGGCCGTCTGGAGGCCGTCTTGGGGGACTCTTGGGCCATCTTGGGGCTATCTTTGGGGCCTCTTTTGTGTTTTGGAGCGTCGGGAAGCCGGAAAGGCGGAAAAGGAAAAAACATCGAAAAACACTCTGGAAAATCAGCAATTTTAGACTCTTTGGGCCCTCTTGGGAAGCTCATTTGGGACCTCAAGGCTGTCTTGGAGACCTCTTGGCCCGTCTTGGGGCCATCGTGGGCGTCTTGGAGCGGTCGTTTGGCGTCTCGGAGCCTCCGTGTGCCGTCTTGGAGGCCTCTTGGGGGCTTCGTGGCCCGTCTTGAGGCCCTCTTGGGCCAGGAAAAGCCTCGTGGATCGCTCGTCCCGGACCCCTCCCCACCTCCAAATCGGCTCTCTTGGGCCGTCTTGGGGACCTCTTGGGCCGTCTTGGGGCCGTCTTGGGCTGTCTGGAGGCCGTCTTGGGGGACTCTTGGGCCATCTTGGGGCTATCTTTGGGGCCTCTTCGCGCGTCTTGGAGCGTCGGGAAGCCGGAAAGGCGGAAAAGGAAAAACATCGAAAAACACTCTGGAAAATCAGCAATTTTAGACTCTTTGGGCCTTCTTGGGAAGCTCATTTGGGACCTCAAGGCCGTCTTGGAGACCTCTTGGCCCGTCTTGGGGCCATCGTGGGCGTCTTGGAGCGGTCGTTTGGCGTCTCGGAGCCTTCGTGGGCCGTCTTGGAAGCCTCTTGGGGGCTTCGTGGCCCGTCTTGAGGCCCTCTTGGGCCAGGAAAAGCTCCGTGGATCGCTCGTCCCGGACCCCCCCCCTCCAAATCGGCCCTCTTGGGCCGTCTTGGGGACCTCTTGGGCCGTCTTGGGGCCGTCTTGGGCCGTCTGGAGGCCGTCTTGGGGGAGTCTTGGGCCATCTTGGGGCTATCTTTGGGGCCTCTTCGCGCGTCTTGGAGCGTCGGGAAGCCGGAAAGGCGGAAAAGGAAAAAACATCGAAAAACACTTTGGAAAATCAGCAATTTTAGACTCTTTGGGCCTTCTTGGGAAGCTCATTTGGGACCTCAAGGCCGTCTTGGAGACCTCTTGGCCCGTCTTGGGGCCATCGTGGGCGTCTTGGAGCGGTCGTTTGGCGTCTCGGAGCCTTCGTGGGCCGTCTTGGAAGCCTCTTGGGGGCTTCGTGGCCCGTCTTGAGGCCCTCTTGGGCCAGGAAAAGCCCCGTGGATCGCTCGTCCCGGACCCCCCCCCCCTTCAAATCGGCCCTCTTGGGCCGTCTTGGGGACCTCTTGGGCCGTCTTGGGGCCGTCTTGGGCCGTCTGGAGGCCATCTTGGGGGACTCTTGGGCCATCTTGGGGCTATCTTTGGGGCCTCGTCGCGCGTCTTGGAGCGTCGGGAAGCCGGAAAGGCGGAACAGGAAAAAACATCGAAAAACACTCTGGAAAATCAGCAATTTTAGACTCTTTGGGCCCTCTTGGGAAGCTCATTTGGGACCTCAAGCCGTCTTGGAGACCTCTTGGCCCGTCTTGGGGCCATCGTGGGCGTCTTGGAGCGGTCGTTTGGCGTCTCGGAGCCTTCGTGGGCCGTCTTGGAAGCCTCTTGGGGGCTTCGTGGCCCGTCTTGAGGCCCTCTTGGGCCAGGAAAAGCCCCGTGAATCGCTCGTCCCGGACCCCCCCCCCCCCCTCCAAATCGACCGGACCAGGCTCCCGGGGGAGGGGTTTGGGGAGGGGGAAGCATCTCACACGCCGATGATCCCCAAGGGGTCGGCGGATTCGTCCCCTTCGTCTGGCATGGGCCCGCATGGATGTCGCCCTTCGTCCTAGCGCACGTTCGAGGCTGCGCTTTTTCTGAATCGGACTGGATTATCGTGCATGTACACTTTCTCCTCCACCTCCCTAGGGGCGAGATGCCGGACTGACCTGGCAAGTGCTCCCTCCAGGGGTCCTTTGCCGCGTGGCGTGGCTGCTTCAAAGCCCCGCCCTGCAGCACCCCGCGCGGCGCACGGTGCAGGCCGCGCCCCCCTGGGCACTGCCCGGTGCTCCCTCGGTCGCCCCCCGAGGCCCCAGCTCGGCGGCGCGCACCGGGGGGTAGGGGGAGGGGGGAAGGCTTCTTAGAAGCACCCCCTGCTTCTTATAGGGCGACGGCCCTGTCTAGAAGTGTAGGGCCGGCGCCTTTTCAGAAGCAGCCTCCCTCTAAGAAGCCCTCCCCCCTCCCCCTACCCCCCTCTGAGCGCCGCCAACCAGCGGGGAGCCCCACCCCGACGCGGGAGGGAAGCGTGACTTCGGTCCTCGCTTGTGGTTTCTCGTATCGGGCCCGCCCGCATGCGGCCGCTTGTTGCAGGCACTGCAGCCTACCCCCCCCAACAAAAAGGAATGAAGAGCGTAAGAGACGCTGACAGCCGAGATCTGCCGCAGCTCGGCCGCTTGGACTGGCCTGCGCGGCTCCGGCTGCTGCCGGCTGTGCGTCGTGGAGGGAGGGCGCACCGCAAGACTTCGACTGCGGGGCGGCTCCCAAGGGGGAGGCGGACGGAGGGCTTTGGAACAGCAGGAGGAGAAGGAGGAGGAGGAGGAGGAGGAGGAGGAGGAGGAGGGGGAGGAGGAGGAGGAGGAGGAGGGGGAGGGGGAGTAGGGGGAGGAGGAGGGGGGGATGGGGGATATGGAGGAGCAGGGGGCCCCTCCGCGCCCGTCCTCGCCTGCTCCATCTCGCCCCCACGTCCTCTTCCTTCCAGCACCTGGCGGTGCTCCCTTCCCTCCTCCCCTCTTCAGCACGTCTGCGCCTCAGGGACAGCATTCCACTTCGCCGC